TCTAACCTGCAGTCCAACTGAGGGTGATACAGAAGCAGTATTTATACTCATTATGTTCAAGTATTATAGAAAACAAATGTTGTCCAGAAATAAGAGATCCTCCTAATTATGGAGTTGGAGAACAAAGATAACACTCTTCATGTTACCATGAACGATGTACTACCAGTGTCTACAAGCAGGATTTAAAAGCAGTATTAGAAAGATATGATAAGGCAAATTAAGTAAAACACTAACTGCAGAATCTAGGTTTAGGAGTGTTTACTATAAAATTCTTTCAACTTTTTTGTATGAAAATTTTTATAATGTAACAACTTAGCAATGTACAAATCTGTTGAATTGTGGGATGCTTTATAATTTGGGTTAACAGCAGTATGGTCTCTAAGAGCATTAAGTTTTCAAAGTAAACAAGTAAAAAATATGATTCAGTCACTCCAGAATATTAATCTTTCCATTTTTTCTGAGAGCATGTATGCACTAATGAATACTAAGAAATTACAATGAAGAAAACTTTTAACATTTTCTCATATCCCAAAGTACTCATAACTTATACGGAGCATAAAAATCAGAAGTAGATTAAGTACAGGCAGGCCAGTAAGTTTCCCCATATTCGTTAACAACTGGGTCAGAGCCATAATGAGCTTCTAATGCTTGGTGTACAACCAATGATGAATTTATGCAAACTACTCATGGCAGTAAGAGATCTGCAGTCTTACTCAAGTTAGCACTCAAAATACGAAAATCCGGAACAAAAAGAAAAAGTTCCAGTCTTTGCTGACAGATCCTAACTACCCCAGGACCTATTCTATATGCCTCATGAAATCTATGATTACTACCTATAAGAACCACCACACTTAAAACCAAACGGGAGCAAGTCTGATTCCATTATCCAATGCAGCAGGTCAAGACACTCCCTGCACTTCCTCTCTAAGTGTTCTTGTAACTTACAATGACTCTAGTGACAGAATACCTGTTCTGAAGCCCAGCTGGACTGCTGTTGCTTATGATTCTACAAAGTAACTTTTTAAGATTCGGGATGTTTTTTTCTAAAAGTGGTTTTGTTACCCATTTTGTCTTCTTCAGAACTGAGGTCAAGAGCCACTTTTTGTCATCTGCAAAGTGAAGAAAAACATGGAGACCTCAAAGTACAGGAACTAGTTCCCAGCTTACAAACAACTTATGTTCCAAAGGTTTATCAATCCTTTGAAAACATGTTTGCACTAATTAATCTATTTATGCCATAGTTTCTCTGAAAAATTGTATTCCAAGTTTCAATTCTAACTGCAGCTTTCTGCCCTGCAAGAAGACATCTGCTGCCCTTTTACAGCTAACTGCAGCCAAAACTCAGAGAGGCTCAGAGAATTCTCTCTAGGGCTCTAGGGAGAGCCCACTGCAACCTGTGCAGGCAGGGAAAAGGGCAGCTCTCCTTATCTAGGTAGCTTTTACATCACCTCTGCGGGAAAGCTACTACAATTTAACAAGATAACGGCTGTGAAAAAGGTACTTGGTTAATATAAAAGTATTAACAGCTACAACAAAAATAAGTAGAAACTACATTTTGCTCCAGATAAAAAGAAGATAAAATTAGGTGCTGTTAAACTAGTTGCTCAACCAAATGTTTGGCAAGTACAGACAACATACTCTCAAACTGCTTCCTCATGTCTGATCAACTCAAATGATAAGGGAGGAAATTATTAAAGTGGTGAGGAGATCATACCACAAATGTTGCTAAGTTCTAAAAAAGTGTAGTGTACTTTAAAATTCAATAAATCTGTAATAGTCAACATTATATACCACCACTTATAACAACTGCAAGATTTATAAAATAAATTGAGTGACAAATTTAAAAAACAAGTATAACTTTGTGACAATGAGTCACTTCTGGCAGCTAACTAGAGTCTTACGCAATTTAAGAACTACTGTAAAATTATAGAAATAACTCATAATCAAACAGAAAAAGTAAACTTTTCACTAAAAAGACTTCAGAAATGAAGTCAGTAACAGAGACATGAAAAAAGGAAACAGAGAAGGCCAGAACAAACTGATTTGTTGATATAAAATCTGAAAGAAACATTTAAATATTATTAAAGGTTCATGGCATTGCTGTATTATTAAATAGTAATCTGGGAGACTCCCAAGCTAGTATAACACTAGAGTATTAGATTAAAGATCAAAATACTGGTATTCTTAGTAGCTTGGAAGGAAAAACTGCTTAAAAATCCAGAGTAATAATGATAGACAATCTAACCCTTTTTCAAAATTTTTCAGCAAGAATGGATTATAAGAATGAGATGCCTAACTACTTGAGATCTTCGAAAGATATGAAAAGAAAAACAAAAGTGAGCGAAGAAGGGATTTTTTTGGTCTAAAACCTAATTTTCTCATTAAGTCAACAAAAATTATACTTAGACATCAAATTTATATTGGCAAATCTCTGTTCACAGTAAGGGATAGGGACAATTCCTTTATTGTAAAAGGACTTTAATACTAATGACAATTATCTAATAGTATGAACAGAAGCATTTAATTAGGAATATGATAAAATGTAAATATCAAAACTATTAGTAAGCAGAACACCTCAAGTAGATCTTTAAGAATGAAGAGATATATATACTTTTAGATTAGCTTATATGAATTAAAGTTCAAATTTCATACATTCAGCTAAAAGACAGTGTTTCTGAAGTGTTTCTATACATAAAAAAATAGAAGTGAAACATATTTTCACGTGGATAAAAAGGGTTACGCTCTCCAAGCATATTCTTGAAACTTGAAAAAAGATCAACTTCTAATTCTTTGCCATACTTTAAAAGAAAAAAGGAATATTATGGTGAAACAACCTGGTAAGACTTCATGATTACAATACTCAATTTCAATAGTAATTTTGGGCTGACTTGATGCAGATTTCTAATCTTCCTTCAAAATAAGGAAAAATAACAAAATCGTCTCATCATTCAGTTCTGAATTTTTCTGCAATCCTTAATTGCAGCCTCAAAGTTACTACTAAACAATATTCAGCGTTTATAAAAATGATACTCTCTGTAGAAATACTCTTCACAATTTTTGTTACCCGTGATGTTTGGTTGCCATGCACTTCTGCTGTTGTAATCTAAAAAGACAACTTTCTCTTTTTACATTGTTCAGTAAAATATTAGTTTTCATTTTCCGGTTCCAATTTCATTTTTATCTAATTTGCTTAAGTGTTTCAAACCCAAGACTAATAAGAACACTGTACCTAGTTCCCAAGGCTTCACGGTATTTTCTTCTGTGATTCCAAGTAACATAAAGTTATTTTTTTTTAAATGTTAGAAAAAAATCAAAACCTCTTCGTTTCACAAAGAATGTCCCAGTAATTGTTTACCTAAACTGAATTTTCCATGAGTGGGCCCGTCGTGTTCAACAGATGCAGCACTACCAATTTTTCTATCCATAACAGAACTTCAATCCGGTATTTTAATATATGGGTAATTCACGACCCCAAGTATTTGTAATCCATATATTAATAGCTCTCAAGAAGACTCTCTCTTTGTATTCAAATGATAAATATCCTAAAGTTTAGTTAGATCTAATTATTAGAATATAAGATTAACTCAAGACTGGCAAGTCGGTCAACATGAATTTAGTTTAAAAGGCACAGGCTCAGATATAAAGCAAAAACAAACAAAAACCAAATAGGCTGGGAAAGCTGGGGAAAAAATTAAAGCAATCTTCCTATCTATATAATTCACAAACCAGGGTAGTGCCTAAATTAGCTAGTGCTCTTAGTACGGTAATTTCCTAAAACATTCAGGTCAGTCCCGGATACCACGTGCAACTTCTGTAATATAACCTAAGGCTCCCCATCACTGTGGTAGTTCTCTTATCCACAAACCTTCCTGCAGAGACCAATACAGGAACTAATGCCATGCTTTCGGATATTGTGCATAACATACTGAGGGTGACAGTTGGGCTAACAGTAATGTTCTTGCTCTAAAAAGCAAACCAAGATAATTGTGGAACAGTGAAGTGCTGAGTGCACTTAGGGGCCTTGAAAAAAGCCACTCCTGAAAATATCTAGTGTTAAATAAATAAGAGTCCCTAGCTTTCGGATTACTTTCAGGGGTATTATTTCCTTTCCTACAACACCTCACTACTCACTCCCTTTTCCCCTTCTTGTATAAAAGAGGAGAAACATTAAAAGCGTAAAACTGCGAGGCTGAGTAGACAGGGCTCCTGCACATCTGGCCTCACCTCCAACGGCAACAGGGCAACCCCTGGGCGATCCCACCCCAACCAGCAAAAACGCGCCAGCAAAAACGAGAACGCGAAAGCCACGGGCGGGGAGGCGGGGAGTCCGCCACGAGTCGGCCGAGGAGAGACCTGCCGGCTCCCGGCGTGTCCACTCTGGACTGGGCAACCCAAGGAGGGCTGCGAGGGGGCTTCGCTCGCCCTCTCGGGAGGCGTCACACTTATTCGGCCGGGAGCCAAAGTCCCACTCGGGGACCCCGACGCCCCGCCTCGGGCTGCGCGGGGGAAACTTCGCCCACGGGCAGGGGGCGCGCCCGGAGCTCCGGGACCCGCGCTCGCCTCTGCAGGCGTGCGAGTGGGGATCGGCGGCGGCGCCGGGCCAAGTCCCGGGCGAGCCGCGGCGGGCAGAGGCGCCGGTCCCGGGTCTCCGCGGGCCGCGGGCGGGGGAGGGGCGGCGGGACACTTACCACGGGTCGAACTCGTGAATGATGCTTTCGAAGCGAATGACCGCGAAGAGGCGCGAGCTGAAGCCGGCAAGCCAGGCCAGGAAGAGGATGGTGAAGGAGAGCAGTGACTGCCAGCCGGCCGGCTGCGACAGCCCCCCGGACAGCCCCGCGGGGGCCGGCTTTGGCGGCGCCACGCCGCCCGCCGCCTTGTGCGCGCACTGGGCCCCGGGCCCGTGGTGGCCGTGCCGGCTGTTCCCCAGGGCCATGAGGCCGCTCCACGGGGACGAGTTGAGGGACGACTTGTGCTTGCTCTCCGGGGCCGAGGGCTCCGCCATGTTGTGCCCCGGCGGCGGGTCTCCGTCCTCGCCGCCGCCGCCGCCGCCGCCGCCGCCTGGTGCGAGGGGTGCTGGGCGGGGACCCGGAGGAGGAGGAGGAGGAGAAGGAGGAAGAAAAAAGGAGGAGGAGGGAAGAGCGCTGCGCGCTCCCGCCCTCAGCGCCGCGAGGCCGGGGTACAGGGGGTGGAGGCGGCGGCAGGGAGTCTCCGCCTCAGCAGCAGCCGCGACCGCCGCGCTCTCAACTCGGATGGCCCTTGCGCCCCATTAGCCATCCGTATCTCCCGTGCAGCTGCGGCAGCGGCGAAAGCCGACGGGACGAGGGCGCCAGAGAAGAAGCAGCAGACGGAAGCGGCACCACAGCTCGGAGCAGCAATGACATTCCCCCTCACACTCGCCACCCGCCCCGCGGTGAAGAGCAGTAGGAGGAGCCCCCTGGAGTCCGGGCGGAGCTCAGGCTACCTCTGACTCCGCCCCCGACCCAACAGGAACTGGCCCTTCCACCTGTCACAATGCGACAGGTCCGTTAGGGGGCGGGCACAGAACCGCGGTGCCCACCAATGGGGGCGCGAGCTGGGGCGTGGCTTAGCCGAACCGCTCTCCCCCACTCCCTCCTTCCTCCCGCCTCGCGCCCGTTCGCCCGGGGCTGCCGTGCTGCGCGGCTACGGCTTCATTGTCAGTTGAAAGACGCGGTTTCGCGCGCCTGTGTTTGTCGGCAAGGAAGGGTGCTAGGCGGTTCCGCCCGTTGCATGAAGCTGAGCCAGGACGAGGGGTCGGGAGGTGATCGAGAACAGCGGAGTAACCTCCATCAGAACCAGCTCAAGGAAGGCGAACAGCGCTGCGCCGACCGAACGGGCGCTCGCCGGCTCGCGGCGGTCGTGACTTTTAACCCGCTTTGCGCGGAGCGCCCCATCACGTGACTGAGCGCGCAGGCGCGTTACACTAGTCTTGCGCGCGTGGGACTGGCTGGCGGGGCTCTGCCGCCCGGGGCGCCCGACACAGCCTGCGCAGCCTGTGAGCGTCGGCGGCGGTGCGCGGGTCCACCCTGCCGGCTGCGCCAGGCGTCCTGCTAAAGAGGTTGTGAGCGACGACAACTTTGCCGGCGCTGAAAACTCTTCGGAGCCAGAAAACAAGCTCCCAGCTCCGAAGAGACCTAGGGGGCAGACAAAATGCGACTTTCTCTCGCTTTTTTCCCTTCTTGTATCTAATTGGAAAGGTCGTGTTTGTTCCCTGGAAGTACGAGCAGATGCAGGGCTTCATTGTTAACGGGCTGCATACAGTCCACCGAACGAGTGAAACTTTATCAGCTGTTACTGAGTTTTCTTTAGTGAATCATAACGGACCGAAGATCCCTGTCCACAAAGTTTTGCACGTCTAGGTTGTATTTTTATACCTTCCTCCCCCTTCTGCTTGCTCCTCCCCCCCAAAGAAGGTGCCACCGGGGAGACTAAATTCAAGTCAGAATGAGTTTTAAACGAAAATAGAGTAGTGAGGAGACTAATACGCCCCGCGAAGGGCATGGAGCTTTGATTCCATAAATATTCGATTCACTTTTTATGTAAAGTAATTGTCCATTTTATTTAGGTGAATAACGTGAACTTAAAAGCCTGTGTTCGCATAATATTAAGAAAGAACTCAATTATTAAGCCATTAAATTTCAACACAGCGAACTTAAACATTTAGAAACTGTGTTTAAACTGTAGGTCTTGTTAGATAAATGAACGACTAAGTTTGAGATTGGTCTTTGAAACTAATGGATTCAGCTACTCTTTTAACCTAAGTGATTGACTTTTCTCTGGGTTCCTTACAAAAATAAGTAGATAGTCTCATTAAGGAAAGGATGAAAGGTTTCCAGAAGTAGACTTTCCCACCAACAATTTAATAGCTGACATTTATTGGACATCTAAATTTTAGTGAGAATTATCATAGAATATTAACCGAGACCTGTTATAGGAGAAAGGTGACATGCTCTTTCTCAGAGCCAAACTGTACATGCTAAAATGCCAGCATTTAGAGTATTGGTGCCCATGTTCCATGAACCAAAGTTCTATCAACCTAAAAATTTATTTTGTATTTTTATTTTAATTTATTTGGATATTCCTGTTTTACTATCTTTTGTATAGATGCTCTCTATTAAGTTATAAATTATCTTGCTTCCTTTTTGGTTTTTTAATCGCCAAAGTCCTGGTCTGAAAATTGACAAGACTCAGTTCTAGTTTCCCATTGTTGCTTACTAGCCACATAGCATTGGCCAAGTCACCTGCATGGGTTTACCCCTTCTACTCATAAAGTCAGTTCTTAATATCATGTGAGATAGCTTATCTGAAAATACTTTGAAAAATTATTAAGGATCATAAGCAAATGCAGCTTAGCAGTGAGTATAAAAGCAGTAGGAAAAAAACCCTGTTATTCTTGGTGTCTATTCACTTACTCACTAATGCATTCAACAAGTATTTATTGAGCTGCTTTATGCCAAGCACTATGTGGGCTCGGGATGCAGTAGGAAACATGAGAAGTGTGGTTCCTCCCTCATAGAACTCACCAGCCAGTCCTAGGGAGATGGGCATTGAGTAAACCATCACACTGCTAAGTACCAAAATGCAATGTGACAAATGCTATCAAAGAGAGACACATGGGGGATTTGATCTGCACAAGATGAGAATGTTACCCAGGGAAGCAGCCCTGGGGATAAGGATGAAATGACCAGGGGAAGAAGAAAGGAAAGAATTATCCAGACAGAGAAGCACATACAAAGGCCCGCTTTGGGTCTGGGGAGGCAGGTACAAGGAACCCAGAAAATGGCCAGTATGGCTGCAAAACAGTGGAACAACGTGAGAGAGGAGTTGAATAAATGGCCAGAGAGTATAGGTCATGTTAAGAGGTGTTTTTGTTTTGTTTCAATGGGAAACTAATAAGGAACCATGAAGGGATTTAAGCAGAATTTGGTGTGTATGAGATGGTGTGTCATCAGCTGTGTGTTTTGAAAAGATTACCAAGAGTGCAATGTGAAAAGCGTGTTGCAGAGAGGACCTCAGTCCACCTGTGCCAACATCTGAGATTATAGAGGTTACTTTTGTGAGGAATGCATTACAGAGGATCCACTAAGGAATCCATAAAAATAAGTTGCAATACGGTGAATTCTCAGTTTCCAGCCCATCAACATAGAAAAGTGACTCAGTTTGTGCATGAACTTGAGTATATTGTTTTGCCTCTTTGCACTTGAGCTTCTTGATCATCCTGCTAAGTGTTTTGGATGCTGAAACTGGGACAGTAGGGCCCAGAGAGGAAAGGATAGGGAAGATAGCAAAAGAGTGGAATCCAGAGGGACATAAGGCCAGCAGTGACACAGAGTGCAGAGAAGTGAATTCGCCAGCTACTGTAGCAAGGTCAATTTAGTGAAGTTGTAGGGAGCAGAAACCAGATGGCAGCGGGTAAGGAGGGTTTGGAAGCAAAGGATGTGGAGGCAGGGACTGTAAACCACCCTTTTTAGAAGTCTGGCTTTGAAAGTGCATAGAGAACCAAGTCAGACAAAGAGAAAGACAAAATGATCTTCAGCCCCTGGCTTCTCCCAGTATGGTCAAGAAAAGATTTGAGTGCAGAAAATGTGCCTCAGAAATGGCACAGGTCTAAGAGAAGGTTTCATTCTTCTTAGAGCAACAGAAACAACATGACACATACTCTTGCACCGGGCACTGGGCATAGTAGGGAGCTGCCAGAGTCTGGCATATAATTGGCATTCGTAAATATTTGGTGACTGAAGGACTTCTCTACCATCAAGTCCAGAGAAAGGTAGTTGCTGGTATTGATTCCACTGCTCAAAAATGTCTTCAGGTTTTTCTGTCTTTCCACTCTATGCTGGATTGTGTGGTGTCAACTCATTTTCACTCCCTTCTGTGGTCTCTGCATTGCTTGGGAGAAGCTGAGAACTACATTTCCCAGATCCTCTTCCCTGTATGGTTCCATGTCAGAGTTTGAGAGGAACACAGTCAAGATTTAGAAGACAGAAAAGAGAGGGAGGTGGTTTTGGACAAAAGGAGAAGAATGAGCAAACCTAAGATTCACAACATCCTTTCAGCTGCTGTGAGAACCACTTACACCATTGTCATCAAGTAAGACAGTAAGACAGAGTAAGGGAGCTTTTTTGGAGATGATTGGAAAGCTTTTGAGAACTACCTGCTTCAGTCCTTCAGGTTGAAGTTTTCAAAGTTGGCTTTCTTGACCCTGACTTTTTGGCAGCCACTTCACTGATCTTAGTTCCCCTGGGTTTTCCAACATTCATACAAGTAATCATTCCTATATTAAACCCTTTATTCCTGAAATACCTAGAGTAGCTCTGTTTTACCAGTTGAACCTAATAATACACATTCAATTTTCTTAGTGTGCTGGTTTTCATTCTCTTGACTGTTGCCTGAAATTTTTCATTCCTTTTTATGGCTTCATGATATTCCAAAGGATGGATGTACCATACTCATTTGATCAGTAATCTATTGGTGGCTGTTTGGGCTGTTTCCAATCTTGTGCAACTGCAAACATAGATACAATGAATAGACTTATAAAGAAGTAATTGTTCCCAAGTGTAAGAGTGTTGGTTGGAGAAATTACTGTAAGTGAAATTTGGGATAAACATATTTGGAATTTCAATAGATAAATTGTTCTCCAATTAGGCTTGTATCAGTTGCATTCCCAGCATGTGTGAGAGGCCCATTTCCTAGGAACTCACCAGCAGAGTGTGTTAAGAAACTGTTGACTTTTTGCCAACAAGTGAGGTGTAAATTGGTAGTTTTAATCTGCATTTCCCTTATGAGTAAGGCCGAGGGTATTTGATTGTATATTTAAGGCAATCTTTTCACATCCTCCATGAGGCAGAATTGACATCATTGATTGTGTGTCTTTAAGTGTAATTATTGGAGTAGTATGCTCCAGTGTCATGGAAACCATTAGCATGTAGAGTTTTATTGGCCAGCTGCTCAAAAAGCGAGGTCATCTATATCGAATTCATGCAAATCTGTTCTTGAAAAAAAAAACAAAACAAAACTCTTCTGCTGTTCAATTTAGCACATCCCCTAGATGGTCTATTTTAGATCATGTACTTCATGAAAGTACTTTTGAAGTAATGAAGGGATTTTTTTTTGCTGCATTAAGAAGTTCAGGTAGAAATTTTCTAAAGATAGAGTCACTGTTAGCAAACGTCTCCCCTGATAGAATGGTTTTTCGTTTCGTTTTAATGTCATGAAATTCTGTGCCTTCCTGATGTGTAGCTAAACTGCCCATCTCTCCCCGAGAGCCTTATAGGAATAGATGAGTAAATAGGTTACTTTAGCAAACAATATTTCCTTTCAATGTATTTCAATTACAATTATAGTGATTCCGATGCAGTATTATCACCCATCCCCATACATTTGGGATATTTTTTATGTTAATCCAAGTAGTAACAATAACTGCATTATATTTATAAGAGAATTTATTAAATTATGTTCTTATGAAATAAGTCAGAGTAATGCTCAAAGAAGAAGAAATATGAAGAAATACTATTATTTCTAGTATAATACTAGTAGATACTAGTTAAGTACTAGTATTTGAAGAAATACTATTATTTCTAGTATAATACTAGTAAATACTAGTAAGTACTAGTATTTCTAATACTAGAAATACTATTATTTCACCCTAGAGGTGTCAGGAAAACAGGAAACTTGAACTCCCTCTTGCTTAACAAGAGGATTTGATATATACTGAGCTTCAGAATTTGTGTATACATTTTTTTAAAATTTTACTTCTTTCTATTGTAAATTGTTGATATCCCAAATGTTAAACTTAAGTATAATAAATATTATGCTGAAGCAATGTATTCCACTTAATAATTACACAAAACAAACTCATTTACTAAGGAATTAGAAGAGATTTTGTTGGTTATTAAATTAGTGACACAATGGAGAATGGAGGGTATATTAGCTGGAAGTTATAAAATTGAAAACTACATTATAATTTTGATAATAAAAACAAAATTAAAAGGAGCTGAAGGAACATATTAATTAAAAATATTCTAAACATCTAAAGTGTTGTAAATGCATTTATGATTGGGGTGTTAATTTTATTTCTGGAAGTGTGGGCTTCTTGGGCTCTTTCAGTTTTCAACAAACAGAGATATATTGGAGGTCCTGGGTAATGGAA